AACAATAGTAAAACAACAACAACTACAACTGCAAATAAAAATGTATGAGACAGACATAAAATACATAGGTAGATAAAGTTAAGAAATAATTACTATTCAAATTAATAAATATGAGTAATTACTTTAAATCATTCTAACATTTTTAACATTTTGACAATTTTGGAATATAAAATATTCCTTTTTTAAATTGATTTTACTTCACATTTTATAAAGAAACTGTACTACTTTTTCTTCTAATTTCTACTTGATCTCTGATCTTAATTATTCCAAGTAAAATATGTTGAGTGTCATGTATAATCTCTTTAATGCTAAGTAGAGTTATTAAAAATTACATTCAGAAGCGAATGCTGAGACAATTTGTTTACATTTTTTAGTGGATTTCTCCTGATTTTTTTATAATTAATAGACATTGTTTATATGCTTTAAATAAGTCCTTTATTAAAGCGTACTTTATCTTCTTTTTTAATCGGCGTTAATACTATTCTGATATTTTAAAATAAAAAACTAGATTTCAAGAATGTTCCAATCACTTTTTGATAGGCTAATAATTCTTTGCTAAATCTAATTGCTAATTAGGGACATTTATTAGGACTATTTTATTGATTATGCATTTATCTGATCAAGTATATAATTTCTTAATAAAATTTAATCTGAAATAGCGGTCTATCAGCTATTTGTAAGACTATTCTTCTAAATTCAAAAAATTCAATAAAGTATTTAGCATGATTGAGTATTAGTTTTGCAATTTTTAAGAACACCTTTAAACTTTTTAATGAATAATTGTTTAAAACTTAGATTTAAAATAAATAAATGCATTTATTACTCATTAATAATTCACTTGATCAAAAGTACTTCTTCTTTTTGGTTTCTTCCAGCTTATTTGTATAACTAATACTTCCTATTTACTTAGAGATATTTCAGTAATCTATTATGAGATATCTTAGCTTTTAGACTTATTATGTAATATAAAATAACTATTTATAGATTCTAAGTTTTCTAAAAAAGAAGACCATTGAATATTATATTATTCTTTTCCTATGGTTTTTAATAATGCCTATTACTTATTCACAACTAATTAATTAACCAATCAATCAATAAATCAATTAATCTTTATTATCTTAACTTAAATAAAAAATTAAAGAGATATTGTATATATATTTTATTTAATGTTTAGCTTTTATAAATATCAAAAAGATGTACTTTTAATTCACTATTTCTTGTATTTAATTCATAAATTTAATGAATTGACTTGGAAGAAACTTCGTATTCTAATTAATGTATTATCAGATATTTTAAAATGGAAAGACTGATGTTTTTTTTACATATTTAATAATCAAATAATTTTTGTTTTCCTAAAGCTATTGCTTCATTGTTTATTGCGAAACTCAAATTTTCTTTTCAAAGCTTTCCTTTTTTTCTAGATTTTTTCTTCAAATATTTACATAAATAAATAATATAAATAAACAAAAATGTTATTTTTAATTTATTTATTGTATTCAATTAAAAATTTAAAACTTAAAAATACTTTAAATAATAATATATATTAATAAATTATTTTTATTTTTAAATTTATTATTTATTAAGCATAAAATGGCTGGGCTTGTAAAAAATATAAGGTACTTATTTAATTAAATTACTTCATATTTTTTTTTATTTAAAGCATTACTAATTCATGTTTATTTTAGCATTAAAAACATTTTATTAAAATTTTGTAGTTTGTTTGGTTTATTTACAATTATGCAAACAGCTTTTTAATTAAAAATCAATGAATATTTATATTCAATATTAACATTTTGTTTTTCAATTATAACAAGAAATGAATTCATAATAAATAAATAAAAATTTTTTCAAAAATTTATTGTCTTTTCATGTTCAATTTTTATCTTTCTCTTCTCCAATTTCTTTATTTTCTTCAATTGGCATTTCTTCATCGAATTCATCAAATTCTGCTTCTTCATCAAAAAGATTTTCACACTATTAATATTCTGAAATCAAATCCATCACATTTGAATGAGCTTCTTTGAATTCTATTTCTTCCATTCCTTTATTTGTATACTGCGACAAAAAAGTTTTATTTTAAAATAAAGCAGTAAATTAATTTGAAATCCTATTAAATACGTCTTTTATGGCTGTAGAATTTCCAATAAGGACACCAGATAATCTTACTGAATTAAGAGGAATATCACATTTAGAATATTTCAAATTGTTAGGAATTTATTATACAAAATAAGAGTTATATTCATTTGAAGAATTTACAACCTATTCAAAGAAATCTTTATATGGTATCCTTCCTCTGAAAATAGCAGAGGCAGCTAAAAATCTACCATATCTCCAATCAGTAGAGCAAAGCATAGTTCTAGGATTGTAAACCAAATTTTTTATTTCAGGAAATTTAGGTGGATAGCACTAAGTAGAGCCTCTTGAATAACTAGGAGCAATAGCACTCATTAAAAAATGGAGTCGAGGAAAAGGAATCAAGTTAAGAGCAATTTTTCTAAGGTCTGAATTAAATAATCCAGGAAATCTTAGAGTACAAGTAATAGAAGATATTGCAGAAGAAATATAATAGTTAAGATCCTTTAAATTAGGGTTGTAAAGTTTAGCAACTCTAAAACAAATATCATAAAGAGCTTCATTATCAATTACCATAGTTTAATCAGCATATTCGATTAATTAATTAATAGAAAGCAAAGCATTGTAGGGTTCTATTATTTTATCTGAAATCTTAGTTGAAGGGAAAATTGAGAATGTTTCAGTAATTCTATCAGGATATTCTTCTTTTAATTTCTAAAGAAGGAGAGTACCCATTCCCGAACCAGTACCACCACCTATTGAATGGATCATTTAAAAACCCTAAAGACAATCACAAATTTCAGCCTCTTTTCTGACAGTCTCCATAACTTAATCAATATATTATGGACCTAAAATGTAATGACCAATAGCCCAATTATTTTCTGCTGGGTCTTAACCAATTATTAAGTTTTCAGGCTTGAAAAGTTGCCCAATTTAACTTGTATTAATAGAATTTAACAATGCTGGATCTAAATCGATCAAAATAGCTCTAGGAACATATTTATCTGCTTTTGTTTGGTTATAATACACATCTATTTTCTCTAATTACAAATCAGAATCACCTTTATGAACACCAGTAGGTTAAATACCATGCTCTTTAGAGATTTCTTCCCAATAGGCTGTACCAATTTAATTCCCTGCCTAACCTATTTGAATATTAAGAATTTCTCTCATTTTACTTTTTTATTTATTTTTTTAGAATTTATTTAATTAAAAAATTGATATATTTCTGAATAAATTCAATATAAATTAAATAATAACATAACTACTAATAGATTCTGATTTCTTAATTAAAATTAAATAAACTTTTCTATATTATAAAATCAAGTAATTACTCTTCTCTAAATATTTAAATGCATAATAATTATAAATAAATTATTCATTCAATCAATAAAAACAGTTTAAAATAAATATTTTTACATATTTTTTATTAAATTTAACCATTTTGTCTAAATATAACTTAAAGTTTTTTTTACTTCTGTGATAAAATAAAAAATTAAAGAAATTAATTAATTCGTTTATTGATTATTTGAGAATAAATATAATTATGAATTGAAAAAATGTTGAATTTTTTTATAATTTTGAATAAATTAATTTATATTTTTAAAATTAATTGGTTTTAACTTAAATAAAATGAGATAACTCAATCAAGTATTTGTTTGTGGAAATTAAGCTATATAATAAAAACTCTTATTAATGAATACTTTAATGTACTTTATTAAGATTAAAATAATTTTTAACATAAAGTTAATATAAGTTTATAACATTAGTTTAGATGAGGTTATAAGTGGTAATTGAAATGAGTTCATTTTTAGATTAATTATTACTTTTTTAATTTAAAAATTGAATAGAAAAATCATAAAGATTGAAAAAAATTAAAATTATTAATATTATTAATTAAATTCTATTATAAAATTATTTATTTTTATATAAATCATATTCAAAGGCATCAACCATTCAAAAAAATAGTGATCTCAATTCACTAAATTTTTGAATGCCATTTTGCTATAAATAAAAAAACAAATTATATTTTATTTTATTTTTTAAATTTCTTAAATCCATTAATTCTATCTCCAAAATTTATTAATAGTCATAAATTGATTTCATATAAAGATATCCTTTTTAATTTAAGGCATATCCTATTTAGTTTTAACTCTTATGATTCATTTATTTAGTTTTCTCTTTTTTTTATAAGCGTAAAATAAAAAAAATTAATCTAAAAAATTGCATAAAATAAAGAAATTATGATAAAAGAAAATAGAATACCAAAAAATAATAAATAAATAATATAAAAAATAAGCTAATAAATACATTTTTGTTGTTTGTTTTAAATAAATATTTATACTACAAAGTATTATAATCAAAAACATATAAACTCTCTTTACCTTAGTTGAAGTATCAAACTATAGATATTGATACTTTATAAAGCTTAAACTATGTTTAATGCACCATAATCACCAATAAAATTATAACTATTTAAATATTCAATAAAATAGAATTTATTAAAGAAATAAATAAATAATCAATCAAAAATATTAAAAAAGAAGAAATTAATTTATAAAAAAATAAATATTTAAATTAAAAATAAGTTAAATGAAATATTGAATATAAACCTAATAAATAAAATATATCAATAAAATTTTATTTTTACAGTAAAATATATTAAAGATAGATAGATAAATAAATAAATAAATATATAAACTGTCTTTACGTTAGATCAAGTTTTAAATTTGAGAGATTTTAGCATTTTTCTAAAGCTAAAGCTAATTTTTATGCACCATGATCACCAATAGCATTTCTACTTTTGAAATATTCAAAATTATAATTAGGAAAAAATGAAGAAAAATATAAAAATATGAAATTGTTAATTAATTCAAGATAGATTTAATGATAAAAATTATTAATAGGAATTAATCAAGATAAATAAACATAATTAAAAATGGGAGTAAATAAAAATCTAAAATCTATCTAATAATTTAATATATTTTTTAATCTTTTTAACTTATTTTGATACTAAATTTTATAAAATTCAGATTAAATAAAATTTTTTACCTAAGATCAAGCGTCAAATTTTAAAAATTAACACATCTTGCTAAAGCAGAAGCTAAATCTGTTGCACCCTATGGACCAATTTGATTGTAACTTTTTATATTTTTAAGAAAATATTATTTTCTAGAAGAAAAAAATTTCAAGAAATTAATAATAGGAGGAAGAATTATAAATAAAAAATGAATTAAATTATGTAAAAACATAATGTCAAGAAAGAAATAAACAATTTAAGTGCTTAAAAATAACTTTCATTTTTATAAAAATTTAATTTTGTATTAATTTTAATGATGTTTTTACCTTAGATCAAGTGTTAAATTTGAGAGATGAGTGCAGTTTGCTAAAGCAGAACCTAAATTTAATACACTCTATGTGCCAATTTAATTGTTACTTTTTAAATATTCAAGAAAATACAATTACAAGGTAAAAGAGTAAAACAAAATATAAAAAGTTAGTAAGAAATTAATATTAAAATCAAATTTTATAAAATTAAAAAAAAAATTTTAATGAAGTAATAAAGATAAAATCAATCAAAAAAGGAAGAATTTAATCTTTTAAAATTTAAAAAAATATATATAAAGTAAATTTTTTACTAAAGACTAAGTGTCAAACTTGAGAGATTGGTATAATTTGCAAAATTAAGATCTAATCCATATGCGTCCTGATCACTAATTGAATTACTTCTTTTAAAGTATTGAAGAAAATATTATTAGCTAGAAAGAAAAAATAAAGAAAAATATCAAAAACAAAAAATGAATAATAAATGCAAAAGATAAAAATTAAAGCATAATCTAAAAAAAAATAAACAAGTAGCCAATAAAAATTGGAATTAGACTAAAAAAGATTGAGCGAATAAGAAATAGAATAAGAAGGAAAGTAAGCAAAAGATAGATAGTTTATTTGTCTTTTAGTATAAATATTTGTAATGTAAAATTAATATTAATTATTAAAAGCAAGAAAGAATAAAGGCTTTACTTTAAATAAAGTTTTAAAATAGAGAGGTTCAAGCAAGTAGATAGACTAGCTACAAAATTATTAGCATCTAATACTTTTATTTAACTATGACTTTTTCAAAAAAATTAAATTAGTTTTCAGAATGAATTAAATAAAAAAAAACAAAATGTAACTTCAAGTAATTTAAATAATATGAACAAAGTATCTTAAAAATAACACCTACCCTTCAAGAATAAATAAATTTTAACATTTAAATTTTTACAAAATTTTTGATTTGAGTTTTGTCTGTCCTAAATTAATAAGAAACTACAATATATTTTTTTTCAAATGCTGATAAAATTTTGCAAAGCAGTTAATCTATTTGACAAATTTATATATATTTATGGTTCTTCAAGGGACTAGATCGAAGTATTCATTCATTATTAAATGAAAAACCCAAAAAAAATAAAATTGTTTAAAAATTGTAAACATTCTAAACATTTAAAAACTACAGTTTTTACCTTAAATTGAGTTAGAGATGTTTGAGATTTTAGCAATTATTTATACTATTAGATAAATATTTTAAGCAATCTTTACTTATAAATATCCAGCTTTTTAATAAAATACAAATATTTTTAAAATTTAGATTATTTCTTAAAGAATTTAAAATAAGAAAATAAAATAAATTTCAATTAAGAGTTGAGCTAATTTAAAAATAAGAATTCTACTTAAGCTTCAGGATTAAAGTTTAGATATTTGAACAATTTTCTAATGTAGAACCTAAAATTGATATTCCCTCATCTCCAAAATCACTTCTTCTATTATTTTTTGTAAGTTATAACATAAGAATATAAAAATAATAATATTTTTTTATAATTTTAAAAGAAAAGCTTATTAAATTCTAAAATAGATTTAAAGTATCTTTTGATAAGTATTAAAAATTATAGACTGTGCTTTATTAAATGCTGTAATTTTTAGTTTATTTTTTAAATATTAAAAAATAACCTTGTAATTAATTTAATTAAAATTATTTTTTATTAATAAAATAAAAATAGAAAAATTTATACGAGAGATCTAACGACAAAAATTTCAGATTAGGGCAGCTAGGCAAAAATATGTCAAACATTGTTAAATCATCAGTTCCAATATGATTTTCTCTTATAATTATTTGATTAGTTTTGAAAAATTTAATGTGTCATTCATGAATTTTTAGTTTCAAATTAAAATAAATTTAAATTTGCGTTTTAAAATACTTTAAAGAAAGAGATATTTTTTAATTTAAAAACTTTATTTAAATAAAAAATAATCAAAAACTTTTGATAATTTTTTTTACTTTGGAGATCAAAATTAATATAATTGATGAAATATCAATTATAAAAGAATTCATTAAATTTTTTTACCTAAGATTAAGTGTTAACGCAGAGAGTTATGTACATTGAGCTAAAGCTGAGCTTAGTAAAAATAAGCCATTTTTTCCAATTTATTTTTATCTATATTAAAATATTAATAATTGATTACTATTAATTTAAAAACAAATAAAATCAAAAAATCCTGTTTTTCAATAAATAAATTAAAATATAAATCTAAGAGTTGTTTTTTAATAATAAGTAAAATCAAATAATCAAAAAAGGGTTAATAAAAATAATTTATTTTTATACTTTAGATTTATCTCAAGAATTTGATGTGATGATAAAGAAGAACTTAAAAACTTTTAAAAAAAAGTGTTTATAATCTAAAATGTAAGGATAATTAATATTTTGTTACATCTTCTACATATTCATACTTTTTTAACTATTAATTCATTCTTATCTTTACTTTTTAATTTTCTGATTGATTTTATATTTATTAATATTTAATTAATTATTTATTTGTTTTTATTATTATTTTGTAGTTTTCCTTTTCATTTTTTTAACAATCGGGATTTATCTATCTATCTGATCATAAAAAAATTATCAGAAAAATAATAACATATAGACACCTAAATTAATTAATTAAGAGTAATTCTTTTCATTTGTAGCCAAAGGTTTCTGATCAAAAAAATAAAAAATAATCTAATTTCAATATCTATATATATATTTGATAATATACACTATCAAAAAATAATAAATTTCATATATCTAAATTATTTTTCATTATTTAACTTAAGGCTTCATAAATATCCTGATTAAATTATTTTTCATTTTTTAACTATAGGTTTCTTATCAAATAAATATAAAGACAATTTTATTAAATATTATGTAGGTAGGGATTGACAGCATCTATAGTAAAACCTTATTATACAATCTAACAGTATAAATTTAATTATAAGGTAGGTAGCTAAACAGCTTAATAATTATTTAAAATTCTACTGTATTTTTAAAACTCAAATTATAAAAAATAAATATTAATTAATTAGTTTATCCTATCCTTCCTTCGAAATTTAACTCTCTTTATTTTTAAATAAATAAATAATTATCTTTCAGTTGCTATGTTTGTATTAATTAGAAGAACATATAATTTATGTTTAATGCTAATTTAATGTCTTCTAATTAGTATGAAGTTTTAAAAACTTTTAATACTTTTGAATTATAATAAAATTATAATAATAATAAATTGATTAAAAAATATTTTCTGCGTTTATTTATTTATTTTAAAAGACAAATAATCACATTAAATTAATAAAATTATTTAAAAATATTTGAAAAGTCATAAAGGTTGACATCACATCACACCACATCACGTATAATTTATTTAGTAGGTGATAGTTCATATTCAAGTTATAATTTAAAAGTTAGTAAAAATTAATTTGAATCATTATTTTATTTTGTAAACAAAAAGTTAGCTTTAGTAAAAAATATAAATCTTTATAACAACAAATAAATAAACAAAAAGATTGTATGCTAAATACTAAATTTTAGTTTAGAAGGTCATCTTTCCATCCATCTATCCATCATTATTTATTTATTAATTTATTTATAAATTAAATTGTAAACTTTTTTTGGTAGATTTTGATGTAAATAATAAATAAATTCATTATTATTGAATGCCTAAAATTACTAGTTTTTTCATTTATCTAATGAATTAGCTTTTATATTTTTTGAGGTTAAATATTTTAACGTTAATGTTTAAACATTTGATATTATGATTTAAATTATTTAAATTTTTTATGAAATCTTAAAATTTTGTTAAATTAATAACACCTTTTCCTTTATTTATTTATAAAGAAAATGAAACTAAATTTTTAGCTTCAGAAATTTAATTAAATATGTTGAGAATTTATTCAAAATTTGAATTAGTATTTTAGATTGTTAAATAGATAAATTAGAGGTTCTTTAATTTGACTAATGTATCTATAATCTATTTATAATTCATGTATTCAAGGGGGGTTTTTGATAAAAAATCAAGTTTAATAGATTTGAGTTATTAGCATTATTCTATAACATTTACCATATTTTTATATTATTAGCTCTACATTCTTTAAGAAACTATCTATAAACCTAAATAGTTTAATTTTTTAAAACTCTATTAAGCATTTAATAAGCTTTAAAAAACATTTTAGGTTTGGAAATCTCCATAATTAAAGTACTCAAATTTGTTTAATTTGTCTTAGCCTTAAAATAGATCCTCTATTTTGTCAATTTAGATTTGTTGTTATATGTTACACCAGTCAAAACAAACTTATACTGATGTTAGATATTTCATAGTGGATAAGAAAGTTAGAATCTAATTTAATTAATAAATTTAATCTTCTTCAAAGTGCATTATTAATTCATTTTATGTTTATTTTATTTAACTTTATTTTTCTTATATCCACTCTATTTCAATTAGTTTTTTCAAATATATTTTTTATATTGAATTTGAGTTTTTGCTTTTTACCAAATTTTCTAAAATGAAATTTGCTTTATCTAATAAAAAGTTTTATTTAAAACTAAATCTATAATTTTCTTAATTAAATGGAATTAATTTAAATAAAAACTCAGCACCTTAGCTTCCTAAATAGACATTTTTATCTACATCTAATTCAAAAGAGTATTTATTTTCTTAATCACTGTTGAATAAGCAGTTATTGTTTTTCTTCCATATCAAATAGCTATTACTTTCTGAAACAAATATTTTTTAATATATTTACTTAATTTAAACTTGACTTAAAATGTTTGCTACATCTAATAACTTTTATTGAAGGTCAGTATGATTTATATTTAGTTTTATTTGCATAAAATATCTTTTTGTATTTTCATTTAATTGTAAGCATTCAGACTATTAATTGTGTTATGATTAACTATTTTAATCAGAGTTTTTAATTTTTTAAATAGTGTTTATCAAGATTTACAATTAATCTAGAGTTAAGATAGCATTTTAATCATTTATTTCATATTAATCGTATAATTATATATCTTTATTGTATGTTTATTATTAATATTCTATTTCTATATTCTATCTTTAATTGAATTTAAATTAAACGATTTTATTTGAGAAACTTTCCAAGTCTTCAATTATTTAGTTAGCTTAATTAAAATTATTTACTTTGTATTTTAAATGTAGATTATTTATTTTTTAAAATTGTTTTATTGATTTCATTAAAATATTCTCTGCACTTTAGCTTAAAAAATTAAAATAAATTTCTAGTTCTTACAAGTTTATTAAAGAAAACAGAATAGAATAATCTTCACTTCCATCTAGATCTTTAGTCAATTTTAATACTTAAAGGTTTGGAGAAGTTTTGATAGTATTTTAAATATCATAAAATGGCAAAGATGTTTCTAAATATTAGAAATGTTCTCCTCCAAGATCCAAATTTTAAATACTTTTAACTAAGTAGAGTCTAGTAAATTAAAACTATAACCCATTTAATTATTTAAAAGTATTAATAACTTTAATTGCTTCTTATAAACATTCTAAAGTATAAATACCAGAACCAGAAACCATATTGAGCCTAAGGTATTTTTTTATTTTATCAAATGTACTTCTATTCAAAATATTATTAATAAATAAACTCAAGGAATTTCCAGAACAATCCTGACTTGTTTGAAAATTGTATTATTAATCTTCTATTTCTAGCAATTAAAGATTTTAAAACTAATTTAGACAATTAAAAAGATCTAAAAATATTAAACATCTTTCTTCATCCAAATTTAATTTAATTTTAATAAAATTAACACTTTTAAAATATTTTAGAACTTCATTGATATACTCTAAATTCTTTTCGCTAAATGATAATTATTTTTTGTTACTAAAAATTAAATTTCTAATATTATCATAACATGAAATTTAAGCAAATTAAATTAGTTAATTTTCTTACATAATGCTTTCAGTTAAATAAATGCTTATGTGTTAAATAGAATATTGATATCTTTCATCAAAATCTTTAAATTCTAGTTAATCAAAGTATCTATTGTTCATCTCTTTGAAAGCTTAGTCGAATTAAATGAAATTTAAAAGGTTGTTACCTTTTACTCTCACTAATATATTTTGGTCATCACTAATATGCTTTTTTATTTTTAATTTTGTGTTACCCTTCATATGCTAAAGTATCAAGCATATTTACTTAGATAAGTCATCCTAATGAATCTTTAGAATAACCAATTCCTAACAAATATAAATTGCTTCGTTCTGCATTTTATTCTTAATAATTTAATCTTATTTTTTAGTAAGAATTAATTATAAATTTTTATCTTTAATTTAAAAATATGCTTTCATAGATGAAAGAATTTATTATTGATATTTTAACAGATCAAACAATAAAAAAGAATTATTATTTATATTTTATCAGATAAAATAAGTGAGAAGAATATTAATTTATTTATTTTCGTTTCAAAATTTTTAATTATCAAATTCTTGCTCATTATTTTATTATAAAATCCTATTTCTTTTCTTAAATTTAACAAAAAAACTGATATATTTTTTATTGAGTTAAAATTTTAAAAAATATGAAAATAAAATAATGAAATATTATTACACAATATTAAGTAAAATTATTATTAAATAATATGAATTTATAAATAATTTTCATTTGTTTTAGCTCTTTCATAAGAATATTAAGTTCTTTTATTTATTTTGATTTTAAAGTATCTAGTAGCTGCTATAAAAGATAGAAAGTCTTATAAATTTATCAAGTAGTAGATGCTATAAATTTATATAAGAAATACTAAATTTATTTCATTAATTAATCAAGTAGTCGCTTTAAATATTTAAAGTATTGCATAGTGATTTTCAATTTTAGAAAAGTTTCATTTTTACCCACAATAAGATTATCATAAACAATAAATAAGGATTGCATACAAAAAAATATGCTTTTGATACAATTACTGAAAATTTAAATATACAATTAATAATGTAAACAAATTATCAATTATACTCAGTTAGTTGAGATTTAAAATTTATTTATTGAAAACAATAATTAATACCTTCTATATCAATACAACTTTTAAATTTTATAGGGGATTAACATATACTGTAAATCATTATTATTAATTAAGGGTCGAAATTTTGAAAAATAGAAAAAGAAGGGTAAAAATGGAATGAGATATAAAAATAGTGAAGTAATTGGAGGAATCATCTCGGGGAGTAGATGGGGTGGGGTTTTGGGTTTAATTGAAAAGAGAAAAATTATTATTTTGTTAATATTTATTACAACTACTTATTTTTTTGAATTTCAAAACGAAGATCAAATAAGAATTTTAATTATTAAGGCGACTATTAATTTTATAAGCAAAGTTAGTATTTAAAATCAAATAAACCTTCACATTTGATTGATTGATTATCAGTCAGTCAGTTTTTAGCTTTCCATAAAATAGTAATTTCAAAAGCTTCAAATATAATATTATTCTAAATAATTTATATTACATCTATTAAAATAACTTACTAACTAACTGCTTCTCAATTTTATATTTTTTAGTTTTTGAAAGAAAATATTTTAAATAAACTCATAAAAAAAGAATATATTCATAAATATAGATGGAGCTTAAATATTAATTAAATAAGATTTGTATTTTAAATTTAAGAAATGAACAGAATTTTTTGTTTATATTCTTTTAATGATTTATTCTGTTAAAATGCTAATTAATAATTCTTGTAATCTTATTATTGAAATATAAATAAAATTTTATTTCAGAATTTAAACAAACATTTATTTATTTTGTTGAAAAACTAACTATTGGTGGTTATATAAAAATTCTTATAATCAATACTTAAAAGTTAATATTCAAAAACAACATTTGTGAAGGAAAGTTAGATTAGAATTATTTACTATATATATAGTTAAAAGATATTTATTTGCTTTAATAATTATAGCAGCTACTTAATTATTTAAATATCAAATAAAATTCATATATTATATAAATATTTAAAGCAGCTACTAATTTATTTAATCTCAAATATAAAGATCAAATAAAACACTTTATATTTTTAAGAAGCTATTCTTTTATTTGAGTATTTTTTATAAAGTAGATTTAAAATTTAAGTAAAAATTTAGAAGCTAATTTATTTGAGTTAGATAATAAAATAATTTGTTAAAATTATAAGCATTTTTTGTTAAAATTTAAAATAAAACTTTAAAGATTCTTTGAAGAAAAAAAAGAGAATATTTAATAAAAAATATTTATTGTAATTTTTATTCTGATAAAATATTAATAAATATTCTTCTCATGAGTAAAAATTCTATTTAAATACTAAAGATAGTTAATAATAATTCTTATAATTAAAATGAACTCTAAAAACTCATCAGATGATTAAGAACGACAACAAGATTTGCAATTAAGTAGCTTTAATAAGCTAAGAATTAATCACTCTATATGTAGATAAGAGAGATTTATCTAAGTAAATATGCTTGATACTAGCTCATATGAAAGAAAAAACAAAGATACTATTAAAAAGATGTTTAAGTAGGCACAAAGATATAATTGTAAAATTAAAAGGAGAGAATCTTTTAAATTTCTTTGATTTAGATGATAATAAAAAAAGATAATTTGAATAACTTGAATTTAAAGACATTAACTAAAATCAAAGATTTTCTTTAAAATAAATAAAAATAAATCTAACTGATGATTTTTTAGGAGGCAATTTACTAATTTAATTTGGTTAAGATTTATCTGGCAATGAAAAAATTCGAAAATTAGTAATTAGAAATTAAAAGAAGATGATGGTTAATGAAATAAATTTATAAAATACTAAAAATTTTTTAAGTGAATTAAAAAATGTTAATTTTATAAAAACAAAATTAGATTTAAAAGAAGAAAAAAAAATGTAATTATTGGATATTTTTGATAGTCTGCATTAATTTAAGCGTCTAGAATAGCTAGATATAGAAGATTTACAATATTATTTTGTAAGAAACGCAAATAATTCTGTAGATTGTTTTAAGCTCAATGTTAATAACATTTTGAATAGTTAATTAAAAGATAAATTAAACAAATATATTCTCAAAGTAAATAAGCTTAACATATTTTTCTCAGTTTACAATAAATAAGGTTTAACCACAATAATTCAAATCCTCAACTCTTATAAACACTTAAATGGATTATATTTTAATTATATGATATTTTATCCTAATCAATTTGTTTAGAATTTGCAACTTGGAGGAGATAATTTTTCTGTATTAAGCACATCTTTACCTTTTATTAATATTTATAATACTATTAAACTCTCTCCTCGTCTTTAAATACTAAAATTGACTTAAGCTATAAATACCAATGAAGACTATTCTATTATATTTTCTTTGAATCATTTACAAGAGTTAGATATTCGCTTTTAATTATTGAACGAAAATACAAAACAAAATTTAGTACCAAAAATAAAGCTATTTTAAAAATTAAATTTAAATTGTTTAGGATTATAATTTGAAATAGCTAATTTTAATTTAGCTGTTAGTGTAATTGAAGATATAAAAGTGTTTTCAAATCAAGTTATCCAATTTAAATTTGCTTAAAAACATTAAATATAATTAATATTCAAATAACAAAAATAAAGAGCAGATTAATTATTAAATGATGAATATGAAATCATAGATTATAGCAGCAGATTAAATATTCTCTAATTGGAAACCTTAGAGAAAGTCATAAAAAAATTAAAAAATCATTAGAATTACAAGAAAAATAGCTAAAAAAAGAAATAATAAATTATTGGCTTAAAAAAATATTTTTTGGAAATTAAATTATATATAAATCAAGTTGATCTTATCAAAAAATTTGAAACAGTTTTTAAATTATTTTTTTAAAATGATATCAAGTAAATTCGTTAAAAAATATTTATCTCAGAAAAAACTAAATATTTATGTTGGAAGAAACATGATTAAATTGATAGCGATTAAGATTAAGAGAGTTAATACACTTTTGAATTAGATGTAGAGAAAAATTCTAATTTACAATATATGGATGCTATATATTTAATTAAGTAAATTCCTTTTAACTAAAATAACTATAGATTTCATTTTAAACATAGTTTTAACTCATGTGAAGATGCTAAATATGTTTTAGAAAGCTTTTCAAAAAGCATAAACACTAATTCAACAATAAAAATAGCTTTTAATGAATAAATTGAAATAGAGTGGATATAATAGAAGTTAAATTTTCTTTAAGAAAGGAGTACAGAAAATGTATTGATAATAAATATAGAATATTATTCTCATTTTAATTTGACTTAAATTAAAACCTTCATTTCCTCTATGAATTTCCTAACTGCTATTTACTTTAATATAAATAGCTATAAGCTTAAAATGAGTGAAATGAAGGATATAATTCCAAAATAACACCGTTTAAAAACATTAGAATTCTTTATTAGTTAAGAATTATATTTTGATGAATGCTAATAGTTAGAAAAAATCATACAAAATTGCTAATAAATTAAGAGTTTAAAACTCAATTTTTTATATTGTAGTGATTTCTCAAGAAAAATATTATTTCTTTAATTGGATATGCGAAAACATTAAAAAGTCTTTAATTCATTAATTTAAATTTTGAAAAATTTAAATCCAGTCTAAATAAGATTGACATTTAAAATATCTTGCTTACCACTTTTGAAAACAAAAATTTAATTTCGATTTCTCTCAAAATTGATGGATATTTCTATTATATTGAAGAACCAGCTTTAAATTTGTGTAAAATTATAAATAATCTAAATTATAAATTACTTAAAAATACTAATTGGTTTTTTACATTTTGATGAGCAAAGAAGCTAGCTAATTAGAAAAATGAAAAGACTAACAGTTTTAGAACTTAAAAAATAGTAATGAATTCATTCTTATATAATAAAACAAACAAATTTATTTCAGTTTATTATTAATTTTTATTAATTTATTAATAACGAAAACAAACAAGCAAACAAACAAACAAACAAACAAACAAACAAACAAACAAACAAACAAACAAACAAACAAACAAGCAAATATTTAGATCTAAAAAAGAAACATTTACTAATTTTATAATAAAAAAAAAAATAAAATCAAATTATCTATATATATAGCTAATCCTGTAATTAAAATATTTAATTTTTATGATTTAAAGCTAATTTTACACTTTTTATTTTTTAATTTTTTTTATCAAGCTATTTTTATTAAATTTTGAAAAATTTTTTTGAAAATTGAAAACCTTTTGCCAAATTTTGAACGTAAAAAATGAAGACTAAGGGTAAATAAATTTTTCTTACACATTTTCGAAAACATTCTATGTAAAAAAAGAATGTTTTGCGCTTCATTCATATTTGAATGAAAAAAGTGTCTAAAGCTTCTATTTCTTTCTTTTTTCTCAATTCAAAAATCTTAATCAAATTTTATGTATGAATTTAAAGCAAAAAAATTAATTTTTCATAAAAAATTAATTAAAAGGCCTTTATTTCTTTTTAATAAAATCACAGGTAGATCTTTTAGATAAATTCTGACA